TACTGTATGGTTTCCTTTCTCTTTGAAGTGGCTGCATTACTGTATGGTTTCCTTTCTCTTTGAAGTGGCTGCATTACTGTATGGTTTCCTTTCTCCTTGCAGTGGCTGCATGGACTGTATGGTTTTCTTTCTCCTTGAACTGGCTGCATATACTGTACGGTTTCCTTTCTCCTTGCCATGGCTGCATTACTGTATGGTTTCCTTTCTCCTTGCAGTGGCTGCATGGACTGTATGGTTTTCTTTCTCCTTGAACTGGCTGCATTACTGTATGGTTTCCTTTCTCTTTGCAGTGGCTGCATGCGCTGTACGCTGCGCTTGGAACGATCCTCTTCTCATTAGTAAGTCCGTCTCTTCCTCTCTGGCAAAGACTAGGGTGTGTGCACTGACGGGGCTGGAGCCCCGTGCAAGGCTGGGCGTGGGTGGAGTCAGTCAGTCCATGCAAGTCTTCTCAGGGGGGTGGGGTGGCTCCTTCTTAAGATCTCTAGAGCTGCTCCTTTTTGAGGGATCAGATTCTAGGCCATCTGCTGAGGACCGCTGGGAGCACGTGGGTGCCTTGACGGCTTCTCGCCCTCCCTGGGGACATCCGTGTGCGGAGGTGGGTGTGGCTGTGATGCTGAGCAGTGTCGGTGGTGCTTCCATTGTTGTGACAGGGGTGAGACACCTGGGCACAGCTTTCCTGGCCTTTTCCTCACCAAGGGAATTTTTAATTTTCAGAAAATTTCCTCCTAAGAAGCCCTCATGATCGTCTGTATTCTTCAAGAAAATCTATTAAGACTAATGTTTTGGAACACCACCCCTGCACACCACCGTCCCCTCCCCCCATAGTTGCCATAATATTTTAAAAACTAGCTCTGGGCCATAGAAGTCACATATCATACAATTCTATTGCGTCACACAGAGAAGACTTGTACAATCATGACCCCCATCGGTTTTAGAACGTTTTCTTCATCATGTACTCATTGTTATTAGCTCCCCACCCCCACCCCCACCTGACCTTCCTTGCCATACCCTTAAGGGACCATTAATCCAGTTACTGTTTATGAAGATTTGCTTATTCTGGATTTCATATACAGAAAAACATTACAAAACAAAAACAAACAAATAACAAAGTAAAACAGATAAAATAATAAGATTTACATTTTTACCTAACTACATCTGTCATAATCAACTTTATAATGCTCTTCGTCTGATAACAGGGCTATTCACCTCCCTGAACTACGAGTCAGAGGGGATTCACCAGAGGATCAATCCATGTGTGGACCCTGCAAATGGATTTTGAGCTTCCATTGTCATCCATAGCAAACCAGGTGTTCACAATTTAAGCTCGGATACCAATCCCTCCTTTAGATTTGAGTTATTTACAATCCTTGGATCATACAGGTTGGCCTGCTTCTTCCATGTGGACTTAGTTGATGCCTCGCTTTGATGGTTGTGCATTTGAAAACAAGCTTTTCAGACCCCAGATACTATTCCTTCTGATAGCCAGGCACCATCTAGTTTCTTCACCACACTATGCTAAAGCACCCATATCTTCAGTGATCTCTTTATGAGAGTGAGCACCAGGCAGAGTTGCAATAACCTTTTGAACTGACCTCATTGCTTTAAATTTAACTGGTCACTGCTTTGGTTGGACCGTTTTTGGGGAAGGCATCTGTGTTAGGGTTCTCTTGAGACACAAAACCAGGACACTTATGATTTTTTATATATAATACATATGGATATATATATATAACATAATGAAATAAACAATTAATCCACAGAGAGCTCAGTTCAACTCACTTCTGTGAGATAGTTAATATACTGGCAGTCCTTCAACTCACGAGGGCTGTTGGGTGCAAGTCAAGAAGCAGACAGCTGGGTCTTCTGTAAAGCAATATAGGCAGTTCAGCCACAGGCAGCAAACAGCAGGGCAGGTCACCAACACTCAGCCAGATGACAGGTTCTGACAGTCCCCAGCTCAAGTGAGGTACACACCAGCAGTGTGGCGAAGCGGGTCTCAAAGGAACATCGAACTATAACAACACGGTCCACAGGTTGGGTGTCTCACAGGTAGTGTAGCTTGCAATCTGAGGTAGAGAACTAGCTAAGGCAGCAGCACACTGGTCCGATCATCAGAGAGCAAGAGACGGACAGGCAAGGCTTACCAAGCCATTTATCTCTCTGTCCGTCAATTAAACTACAACCTTATTAATCCCACATGTGTCTATTGGCCAGGTTGGCACAATAAACCTACCTATCACAGCATCCTAACCAGACCAAGACAAGTAAGCGTATGAATGAGAGAACTTGTCTGCAGCCACCCACTGAGTGCAGAGACATGTTTAAACACGTTCAGCTTCAAATAAACCAATGCATGTATGAACTGAAACCCTAGTAGCAACACCATTTTTACTTACTCTTGTGCATGTGTATGTTTTCTCTTTTATACAAGTGTAGTCATTCCATAGACACAGAACATGCCTCCCATTCTCCCCAACCCTGGCAGTCAGCCTTCCCAGGACAATCTTCCCCAGGACAATCCTATAGCTCGTTAGTGCTTCTGCTGTTGTACTTGTCATTGTGCTTGTGCCCAGGGCCCTGATCACCAGCTTAGTGCCTGATGCACAGTCTATCCTCAATATTGTGAATTCAATCATTAAGGCAAAAAAAAATATGGTCCATGCCAATAAGCTTAAGTCTTCCCCAAACCTCTTTCCTAGTCTGGTCTGTTGAGCATGAACCTACTAACAGGGCTCTCTCTGTGTGGCTATGCTCTGGCTCAAGGTTATCTGCAGAACCCCCAGATCCTTGGATAGCTTCCACAAAAATGGGTGGTTATTTTCCAGGATCTTTAAAACCCCCAAGAATTTTCTTAATACTAGTGTTGTTCTGCCTCACAGAACAGCCCCCTAGTTAAGAGTCTGCATGTAAAGAAGCTTTGTCAGCCTTTGGGCCCCTGTCTGGGAAACAAACAGAAGTACAAGAGTATTCTCCTAGCCTGTTAATCTCAAAGTTCTGGGAGCTCATAATTCAATCGTCTGCAGTTGAGGGGAAAAGTTTTTTATAAGGGTTATTTAACTGAATGCAGGAGAAAGATGGGCCTGTCTGCCCCGGTAAGATCTACAGTCGTGGAAACCCTACAAGGGGTTGCTGTGAGTTGGGATTGACTCAACGGCAGTGGTTATCCCAATGTGACTCTCCATTCCTCTCTTACTTTGGATACACTAACATCGTCCTAAAGCTGCCCCACACGGCAAAGTTTGACAACTTACCTGGAGCTCCGAGAGTTCACAATTACGGTGCTTTGGGAATCTAAGTATTTGAGAATCGTCTTTACTTTCATTCCTTGTTCAGTGAACATGGGAGAACATAGATATATACATACCATCACTTAACTCACTGCCATCGAGCAGATGCCAGTTCAGAGTGACCCTATAGGACGGCAGAGCTGCCCCTGTTGAGTCTGCACTATGACTCTTCATGGGAGTAGAAAGCCCCAGCTTTCTCCCATGGAGCTGACTGGTGGTTTTCAACTGCTGACTTTTGGGATTACAGCCCAATGTGTAACTGCTGTGCCATCACGGCTCCTTGTATGTAAAGATATATACATATGTAGATATATATGAGTATGATATATTCATATATAATATCTATAAATCTCGATGACATGTAATATAGGAATGTTTTATAATATATATAATATTCATATATATAGCATACATAATACTCAACTCAACCATTGCAGTTCCCTCAATTCCATCCTGTACCCCACTTCTCTGGGTTTCCCTTCTCCATCCCTTTTTCTTTCCTCATCATTCAGAACTTTGCTCTTGGGTAAATACTCCCCAGTAATCTGTAATGGTTGGTATTCTAAGGCAGTGGTTCTCAACCTTCCTAATGCCAAGACCCTTTCATACAGTTCCTCATGTTGTGGTGACACCCCCCCCCCTAACCATAAAATTATTTTTGTTGCTACTTCATAACTGTAATTGTGCCACTGTTATGAATTGGGTGACCCCTGTTAAAAGGGTTGTTTGACTCCCAAAGGGGTCGCGACCTACAGGTTGAGAACAGCTGTTCTAAGGTGTGAGTGGCTCAGTAGTGTTGTTGTGCCCCTTATAGGCCTATTGCTGGCCTGAACAGAAGACATTGTGCCATTTGTTTTTCGTGTCAGTCTGGCCACCAAAGTCCATGCGACTGGCTAAACAACCTTCGGTTAGGGAAGTCGCAGACAGTGCTGGGGCTTCAGGAGTATGAGGCTTTTGTAAATAGAATACAAAGCCTGGCAGAGCGTGAAGGATAGCCATTTCTTTTTTTTAATGCCAAAATAGTTTTCCTTGTCTGCTTAGAACACTCAGTTGATACCCCTAAAGGACTAACACTTATTATTTTTCTTCAAGTACCTGGTCATAGACATGCAGATGATGATTGGTGGCAAGCATCATTATTATAGCCTGAGTCCTGAAGAGTATGTTTTTGCTGTTCTGAGCATCTACTTGGACATCATCAACATTTTTATTTTTATTTTGCAACTGGTTGGCCTCGGACGGTAGATCTGTGCTCAGAACTTGCTGAAGAAGAAAGGGAGTGGTGCCGGGCTCAGGCACACAAAGCCAACCCTGCAGACGCCCTGGATTTAAAGACCTTTTTAGACTGTATGTATGTATATATTTGGAAAATGAATGGTAGTTGTAGCTTTTCATATTTTCAGTTTCTTATCACATAGCAGATCCTTCTGGGGCCATTTCTGATTTTTGTAAATTCAGAAGATGAGTGTTTTTCACTTATGAAAGACTGCCTTTCCGTGTTGAAGTTACCTCTTCTCTCTGTTCCTCCTTCCAGGAGATGTTTAAACTATAAATAGCATCTCTCTACATGAATAAAATTGATTGTAGAAACCTACATCTACCCCTTTCTCTTTCTTTGATTTAGACATCCTGTGAGACTGTTTTGGCATCTGACTATTTTATTTTCTCTGAAAAATAAGATAAACTCAAGAATTCTATCTTTCTCCTGGATTCCAGGACCAGATTAAAGGAAACACCAGGCCCGACGAGGTGGGGCTGCAGGAGCGCCTGGCTACTACCCAAACCGTGGGCAGTCTGTGCGCATCAGCTACTCCGAGGCAGGGAGAGGTGGCGGTCTGCTTTTCCAGCCTCGGGAACCTGTGAAGGCAGCTCTACTCTGCCGTAGGGTCTCGCGCTGAGTTAGACCGACTCATTGGCAGTGGTTGTGTTTCCTGGGTGGGAGGGTTGTGGGTATTGTTGGAGTTCGTGCACACGAGTGTGCTCAGCATAGAGCAGGGTCAGCTGCCCTGTCACCACCCTACCTATGCTCCTGAGCTCCCGTCAGACACCACCTCATCGCCCCTTGAATTCTCATATGGAGTCCTTGAAGAAATACGACAGCACAAACTCTTCTGCCCCAGTACTTCATTCACATTCTGAGCATTTGCAGCTACCAGCCAGCCGAGAGTAAGTGTCTGTTCCTCTCAAGAGTCTATTTGTAACCTCTCGGGGCTCCTGGCATCAGTCTGACTTAGCCAGCTGTCTTCACAGCCTCACCCACATCCCTGGAGAATCTGTCCCATAGCCACCTGCAGTCTTTCTTTCTCTCTCTCTCGTTGGTAGACTGAGCACTTTCTTATCACCCACGGACGCCGCAGAAGGTGTACGAGGTTGGAGATGGACACAGCACCTCTGTGTCTCCATGGGTCCCAGGCGGCACTTTGAGTGGGTGCACTCGGAGATACACGTGCCGATTTCAATCACCTTCACGTCCTGGAATGGAGATCCTCTGATAGGAACCAACATGTCCTCCTCTAAGTTCCCGCAAGTTCCCACAGAAATTCCCCCGAGGCTGTACTCCACAGGGACGCCCCTCTGCTAGGCTAGATTTCTCCTGTCTATCTGCCAGACCACAGGCTCGGGCCTGGGCTCTGCATGAGGTGGGCAGCCAGAGAGGAATGTGCTATCACGCCGTTATCAAAAGTCTGAGAGGAAACAAGGCCGTGAGGAAGGGGCATGATGCTATCTGTAGTGGTGGAGATTAGTCATTGGCACGCAATGGAAATCTACAGACGGAAAGATGTGTGGGTAAAACATGGGGGTGGGGGTGCACAGGAAGTGCTCGGCTTCCCATGTGACAGCCCGTGTCAACCATGAGGCACTCTGATGTGGAATCAGGAGGAGCACCCACACAGCAAAACCATCTGCAGCTCCCATTTTCATTGTCTTCCGGGGCCAGGCTTGTGTGTTCCAGCCTTTCTGCAACTCTCGAAGCATTGTTTCTGGTCCTTTAGGAAACCGGCACTGGAGATGCACAGTCTCAGCAGACTGAACCTGCAGCGAACTCTTTTGAAAGTCTGTCTGGTGGTGTGAGAATGGGTGCAGGCTGAACCCCTGGACAACCCCAAGTTCAATGCCTCCCTTTGTCACCTGCCTCTCACACCTCATGGAAGAGATGTCTCACTGGGAGGAGGCTAGAGATAATTAGGGTTCGTAGGCAGAGTCCTGCGGGTGAATGGGCGAGTGCTCGGCTGCTCACCAAAAGGCTGGGGTTGGGAGTAAGAGTTGGCCACCTGGTTTGTGAACACTGCAGCCTACTTCTACCCTGTTCCCCGGGGTCATGGGGAGTCACAGTCTCACTTCCTCAATTCCCCAAGGACCTTTTACCTTCTTACACAGACTCAAGGAGCTACCTAGTTCCTGACTTGTTAGTAACCGAATGCCCCATAGCAGTCAGCGATCCCCAAGATGCTGAATGTGGGGAGATTTGTTGGATAAAGCAAACACCCACCTGCTGCCCTGCAGTCAATTCTGATGCATAGCACCCTACAGGGAGAGTCGGACTCCATGGGGTGTCCCAACTGTCAGTTTCTACAAGTGCAGACAGTCTCATATTCCTCTTGAGGAGCAGCTGGTGGATTTGAGCAGCCAACCTACAGGAAGTCCACTGAGCCCAAACCAGAAATCGCTCCATACAATAAATGGACAACCACCACAGAGCAAGTTTAAGTGGGATCCTGAGCAAAATGAAGGCATCTTAAGGGGGTGTGGGGCGCAAGGGGGAGGCAGTATGCCAGTTCTGGGAAAGAGTCTACAGGGAAACTATTATGAAGATGCCAACATTTCCTAGTATCAACTCTCCTAATACAAATATTCTATAGGTGAAGAGTTTACACAAGACGTTGGCAAATGGGTCATCCAATTTGTTGCTTGATTTTGTAAGTAAAATGTTATTGGAACACAACCATGCTCATTTGTTTACATATTACTTTTCTGACTGCTTTTGTTGAAAAGTTTTAACTGAGATAGTATGACCCACCAACTTTAAAATATTTACTACCTTGCCTTTTTACATAAAGTTTTCAAATGCCTTATTTACATAATTAAAACATTAAGATCCTACTAGATGAGTGAGAAATGAAATGAAAAACAAAAATAATTTGACAAGAATGGTGTATTTGAATTAATGGTTATCAGAGTACATAAACACCCCCCCCCAAAAAAAAAACCCACCTCACTGCCATCCAGTCAATTCCAACTCATAGAGACCCTATAGAACAACTCATAGACCCTATAGAACAATATAACAGTAACCCTATAGGACAGGGAAGAACTTCCCCTGTGGGTTTGCAAGACTGTAACTGTTTATTGGAGTAGAAAGCCTTGTCTTTCTCCCTGAGGAGTGGCTGGTAGTTTTGAACTGCTGACCTTGTGGTTAGCGGCCCAACTTGTAACCCACCAGATCTCCATCAGAGTATGTAAGTATAAATTGCTCCAAGAAGTCTGTTGTGCTGTCGGGTAAGTATAGTTGGCCCTGAGGACATTCTGCCAAATAGGCACTTTGGTGTTTGTTGGCATGCAGTCAGTTCCAACGTGCAGGTTTCCCTGGTGTGCAGAGTAGAACTGCTCCCCAATGGTTTCAAACACCGATGTTGGTTTTTTTTAAGTAATTTTATTGGGGATTCGTACAGCTCTTATCACAATCCATACGTTCATCCATTGTGTCGAGCACATTTGCACATTTGTTGGCATCATTTTCAGAACATTTTCTTTCTACTTGAGCCCTCGGTATCAGTTTCTCATTTTTCCCCACCCTCCCCCACCCTCCCTTCCTCATGAACCCTTTATAATTTATTAATTATTATTTTTTCATGTTGTGTCAGTCTGGGTAAACTAGGGAAACAAATCCACAGAAACTCATATGTATAAGAGAGAGCTTTATAGGAAGGGTAAGTGTACATTAAAAAAGCCTCCCAACCCAGTGCTGTTCAGGCCCAGAAGTCCAACATTAGCCCATATGTCTGACACCAATCTACAAAGTCCTCCTCCATCTTACAAAACACGCGCAATGACGCCGACTGCAGGAGGAAAGCCAAGTTAGTGAACGTGTAAGCATCTCAGCGCTGGCAGGGGTCTCCACACGGGTGCTCCAGCACCCAAGGCTGCATGGGGGTAGGTCCATGAGGCTTCTCCTTGGGGATGTCTTGCAGGAGGTGAGCCTTGCCAGCTGAAGCAGGGAACTGGCTAAGGCAGCTGCACCCTGGTCCAACCATCACAAAGCAAGAGACCCGAGAACTCAAAAGGCGAGGCTCACTGAGCCATTTCTCTTCACCACCCCCCACCCCCTTCTATGAATCCCACATGAGTTTATCAGCCATGTTGGCACTATAAACCTTAACTATCTCACATGCCTTAACACTGACCAAGGCTTTTTGGAAGCAGATTGACAGATCTGTCTTCTGAGGCGTTTCTGGGTGGCTGCAACCCTCTAAGAAATACCCCGTCGGGTTTCCTAAGTTGCAATCTCTCTGGGAAAGGAGCCCAAGTGGTGCAGTGGGTTTCAACCTGGACTGCTAACTACAGAGTCAGCAGTTTGAACTTTCTAGACCCTCTGCAGGGCACAGTGAGGCCTTTTGCTCCTATAAAGAGTTGTCGCCTCCGAGCCCCACCTGGGCAGTGCTACTCTGTCCTATAGGGTCATCATGCATTGGAATTGCCTCAAGGGCAGGGAGGTGAAGGCTAGGTCTTTTCTCCCAAGGAGCCTTGGGTCTGCTTACACAGAGGGACATGTGACTAGCGGCTGGGCACTCAACCGTTGCCACCAGCACAGACCCATTTCTGTGGAGTCACTTCTTATCCTTAGTCAGCCTACAGGACAGGGCAGAACCTCCCATGTGTCTAAGGCTGTAACCTTTTATAGGAGCACACTGCCAGGTCTTTTCTCTGCAAAGTGGCCAGTTAGCAGCGGAGCGCTTCACTACTGCCACTTCCCCCAAATCCCTCTGTAATCAAGTTGATTCTTACTCATAGTGACCTGAGGGGGCAGAGTAGAGACCCTAGAGTTTCCAAGGATGTAAAAAATTAAAAAAAAATTTTTTGTGGGCTCTTACAGGTATTATAATAATTCATAAATCAACTATATCAAGCAAACTTGTATATATATTGCCATCATCATTTTCAAAACATTATCTTTCTACTTGAGCCCTTATTATCAGTGCCTCTTTTTGCCCCTCCCCCACCCTCGTGAACCCTTGATATATTTTATTATTATTTTTCTTATCTTACACCTTCTGCCGTTTCCCTTCACCCACGTTTCTGTTGTTCACCCCTCTTGGGGGAGGGTGTGTGCGTTATACATCCATCATTGCTATCGGCTCTCCCTTTTCCCTCTTCCCCTAATCTCCCCTCATGGTATCACTATTCCCACTACTGTTTCTGAGGGGTTTATCAGTCCTGGATTCCATGTGTTGAACGCTCTTATCTTCACTGATGTACATATTCTGGTATAGCAGGACCAAGGATATAAATGTTAATGGAAACCGAAAAGCTCATCTTTCTCCTCTGCAGTAGCTGGAAGGTTTGAACCACTGACCATTGCACTTCAAGGGCTCCTCC